TATAAACTATAAATTTCTAGCGCGCTATTAAATACGCTATGTTATAGCGCGCTATTTATAAGAAAGCGTGTAGGAGGCCGGCAAGCGCGTTAAGTTTTGCAGCACGTTATATCTCGTAGCACGTTACATTACATATCGTTCATTAGATAGACCGCATGCTATATAAGAACATTATTTCGTAATAAGTCGCATTATAGACTGAAATAAAATAAAGCGGTAAAGAAAAACCAATGAACGCTTTTTCATAATTTTCAGGCTTACGACTTTTTATTATCCTAAAAATATTTTTAAGGCATGCACTCTTTAAAACGAAATAAAATTATTTTTTATTGTAATAATATTATTTTTTATTATAATATAAATAATATTACCGAACACCGATTAAAAAATAAAAGACAATAATAATTAATCACACTGATTCACTTTATTTCGCTCCGAAGCTTCGCTTGTCTCGCCAAATTCAATACTGCCCCGATCGATTCGATCCGATTAAATACACCTTTTCCACCGAAACATCCAGAATATTCCAGCAAATACGGGCGCCTACCGACCAGTCGCAGAAAGTTCGAATGTGGGGCTTCTAGAAAGCTTAATTCTTCTGTTCGATACTAGATGGCTCTGTTGGTGGGAAGTTCAAGATTGACATTTTCTAGGAAGCCCTCCTCGCTCTGGTCCCCGACACTAGATGGCGCTAGTGCCAGGTACCAGACGACAACTTAAGCGCGTAACAAGAGTTATAATGCTATACACCGGGTTCTACTTACCTTTGAGTATTCAACCAACTGGAGAGGCCATGCATCATCATTAAAGCCTTTCACAAGTACACTGCTGAACATAGGCCTCCCCCAAGTAATGCCACAAAGCACGGTCCTGAGCCATCTGCATCCATCTACTTCCTGCATATCTTACCAGGTCGTCACTCCATCTAGTGGGGGGTCACCCTACACTACGCCTACCGGTACGAGGCTGCCACTCGAGAACCTTTTTTCCCATCGGTTATCGGTTCTTCGAGCTAGTTAGCTTCGAGTTTGACTGCGGATATCCTCATTTCTAAGCTTATCACGCTAAACCCCGAGCATAGCCTTCTATATAGCTCGCTGAGCGACCTTGAGCGTCCTCATTCGGCCAGCAGTTAAGGACCACGTCTCAGATACGTAAGTCATCACTGGCAACACGCACTGGTTGTACATTCTAGTTTTCATAAGTTCAGCGTTGGTAAAAATGATTTTTATTGTTTTCATTACAACCCTTCACAATTCCACAGCTGAACATAGGCATGCCCCAAGGAATGCCACAAAGCACGATCCTGAGATACCTGTATTCATCGACTTCCTGTATGTCTTACGAGGTCTTCACTTCGTTTACTGGGGGGTTTGCTCTACACTTCAGCCACCGGTACAAGGCTGCCACTCGAGAATTTATTCCTCATACGGCGAGCAGTGAAGAGATTTTTAGTGTAATATAAAGTTATGATTTTATTTGTTAAGGATGGGAGATGAAGCTGCAGTCATCAGCAGATTTGACAGCATACAGGCAACTGAATAGACAGATCTCCAAATGCGTGCGGCAGGACTTATACAACTTCAATACAGCTCGTATTGAAGAAGCGATTGAGCAGAACCAGAGCTCCAGAGTCTTTGCCAGAGATCTGTCTGCCAGAAAGAGCCAACTATCAAAGCTGAAGACTGAGTGTGGCAGAATCGTTTCCGGAACACCAGAGATTTTGAGTGAGATGGAGAGATTCTACGGGCAGCTGTACACATCATCGTTGGAGCCATACGCAAGTGTGAGTAACGATCCAAGAGCAAGTCTTATCCGACACTATTCCGATGATATCCCGGACGTCAGTTTGAGTGAAATTAGAATGGCTCTTCAAAACCTTAAAAATGACAGGGCTCCAAGCGAGAATGGAATTACAGCGAAGCTTCTGAAAGAGGGTGGAACACCGGTATTTAAAGTCCTTTAGAAGGTCTTCAATTCCGTCCTCTATGATGGCACTACTCCGGAGACGTGGAGCAGAAGTGCGGTGGTCTTGTTCTTCAAGAAAACAACGTTCTCTTAAAGAACTACAGACCGATTTCCCTTCAGAGCCGCGTCTACGTGCTATTTTCGAGAGTCATTACGAATCGTCTCGCACGCAGACTCGACGACTTCCAGCCTTCCGAACAAGCCGGTTTACGAAAAAGCTTCCCTACAATAGACCACATACATACTCTGCGGCAAATTGTACAGAAGACCGAAGAGTACAATCTGCCACTTTGCCTGGCGTATGTGAACTATGACAAAGCCTTTGATTCCGTCGACATTTGGGCGGTGCTACAGTCCCTTCAGCGGTGCCAAGTTTTCTGTCAGTATATCGAAGTGCTGAAGTGTTGGTATAGTAGGGCTACGATGGCTATCCGAGTACAGAACCAGAGTTCGAAACCTATCCAACGCATAAGACAGGGTGACGTTATATCCCCGAAACTCTTCACCGCCGCATTGGAAGACTTTTAAAGCTACTGGACAGGAAAGGATACGGCATTAACATCAATGGCGAGTACATCACTATCCTTCGATTTGTCGACGATGTAGTCCTTATGGCACAATTGCTGGAGGACCTAAGCACTATGTTCAATGACCTCAATGGTGTCTCCCAACGGATTATCGGTCTTAAGATGAACTGGACTACAAATAGTCCGACTAGGTAAGTCCAACTTCGACCGAGAGGTCAATCGACGGATTCAACTCGGCTGAGCAGCGTTCGGGAAATTACGACACATCTTCTCGTCAGGTATACCTCAAAATCTGAAAACTAGATTGTACAAATAGTGCACGTTACCAGTGACAACTTACGGATCTGAGACGTGGTCCTTCACTGCTGACCTTGTGAAGACGCCCAAGGTTGATCAGCGAGCTATGGAAGGGGCTATGCTCGGGGTTTCTCTGCGTGATAATTTTAGAAATGAGTATATCCGCAGTAGAATGAGAGTGACTTATATAGCCTAACTTTGACAACCGATGGGGAAAAAGGTTCTCGAGTGACAGCTTCGTACCGGTAGGGGTAGTTTAGGGCGATCCCCACTAGACGGAGAGAAGACCTGGTATGACAAGTCGATGGATGCAGGTGGCTCATCACCGTGCTTTGCGGAATTCCTTGGGGAGGCCAATGTTCAGCAGTGAACTTGTGAAGGGCTGTAACGATGATGATTATGATGATGGTCTCAAATACCTTACTAATTAATAAACAGCTGCAACTTATTCTTAAGGGATCATAGCATGTGTGAAGTTTTATTTGGAAATAACTATTTTTCAAGATATTTAAAGTTTTATACTGCTGCGAAAGCATGGTGGGCGTGGCTTCCTGAGCGCGCTCACTATGCATAATCGCGAAGTGTGCAGCCTCCGTGTTTACTTCCTGGCGAGATCGGATGATCCATTCTATAATGACGTTATTTCTAGTGATAAAGGGCTTACCCCTCTATCCTTAGCTAACGAGCAATGGCAGGACCCGGCAGTACAAAGCATTTCCGACCGGGAGACCGCATGGAAGGAGAAGGAGCTCCACGGGAGGTACTACAGGGCTCTACATGAGCCCTTCGTAGATACAGTCGCCTCCCTCAACTGGCTACGTTTCGGTGACCTTTTCGGGGAAACCGAGGGTTTTGTCTGTGCAATACAGGATCAGGTTATTAAGACCAACAACTATCGAAGATACATCCTAAAGGATGGCATCGTCGACGTCTGTCGAGCTTGTCGCCATCCCGGTGAGTCACTTAGGCATGTCATCTCCGGTTGTTCGGCGCTTTTTAACTCTGAGTACTTGCACAGGCGCAACCTAGTAGCCAGAATTCTACACCAGGAGCTCCTTCTAAAATACGGCCTCGTGGACCGGAAATTGCCGTATTATATGTATTTGCCGGTAGCCGTGCTCGAAAATGACCGCGCCAGGCTCTACTGGGACCGGGCCATCATCACAGACAGGACTAATCTTGCGAATAAGTCTGATATTGTGCTGATGGACCGGTCACAGTCAATGATATTTTTGATCCACATTACCATTCCGTATGACGAGAACCTCGTGAAAGCTGAAACAGATAAACGAACAAAATATCTGGACCTGGCTCACGAGGTTACGGAAATGTGGAGTGGTCTGCCGGCCGAAATTATTCCTGTAGTCGTCTCTGCGAATGGGCTAATTTCAGTCAGCCTCTCGGGTCATCTGAGGAGACTGGGACTCCGTGACGGACCGCTCCGAGCTCAATTGCAGAAGGCCGTACTCCTCGATACCACCCGCATCGTCCGCCGGTTTCTTTCCCTTTCCTCCTAACCCTCGGCCGTTTGGTCTCCCCTGCTGAGGGATTCCATCTGGGTGGATCTTATTTATTTATGTATTTTTTTGTATTTTTTTTTATTGATATTTATGTATATTTATCTTTTCATTTTAACTTAAAATTATATATTTATAGAACCCAACCAGATGAGAAAATTATATAGATACCCCAAAAATAATAATAAAATGGCGGGGAATTGACGACGCCATCGCCCGCTGACATAACAGTTAAGTAACAAAACTGCTATGTCAACGCAGTCAGTCAGCGCCTTGCGAGAGGTGAGCGCCGTGCCTCGGCAGAATTTAGGGTGCAAAGGCCCGTTTGTGCTTATGGCCGTACACGATACGGTGCCGAGCCTGGGCGTCTCCCGTTAATAGACGCTCAAACCATGGATGATGGAAAAAAAATAGTACGCAAAGGGCCGCTGCCTGGAGATCGCCAGGGCGCGTCTGGAGCTGGCGCTGGACGCGACAGCATGCGGGCCGACAGCCGAGCGCGAGGTGCTGCAAGACCACCTAGCAGCCCCCCGCATCCATCATCCCCACCAGAAGGCTTGGTGTCGGCTGGGTCTTCTCGGACTCAGCAAGCGGCACCCGCCATTGGTGAAGCACGTCGCATGCTTTGGTCACAATTAATGAACGCAAACGCACTGCGGGCGTACTTTAGGGCAAAAGGGGAAGAAACTGGATGTTTGGCGTATCGGGCTCGGCTGCATCGATTTTTGCAGAGCTGGAGCCATCTCTACCCGTCACTGAGCAAAACCTGGCAGACCGAGTTCGGTACATCCTGCGCTCCAACATATTTGGTGACGCCGAACTGAAACGAGTACGACGTAAGGCTGTTCCCTCATCGAATGGAAATGCTACGGCTGGGAATGCGGCGCCACTAGATGCGCAGCAAACTGCATATGTGGATGCTGCCGTCAATATTCCATTTGTGTTTAATTCAGACGATGATGGAATAGTCTCCCACGAACTAGAGAAAATGAGGAGCATATTGGAAGAGTCGATGCTGGAAACGCGCAGCATGCCTCTCGAAAATCGACCGCGACTTCCCCGCATTCCCCTTAGCACGCGAAATCGGGCTGTCGTGCGGGCTCTTAACCCAATGCTGGTGACCTATTTGGAAGCCAGCCGGGACCATTGCGAGATGGACTCAATTCTTTTTGGCGCTGCACTGGCAGTATGCCGTATTATTGGCGCCAAACTTCCCATGGCTGGACGTGCTACTCAAAAAATAGCGCCATCCCAGCCTGGAGAAAAAGAATCGAGGACCGTATCGCAAAGACAAGGGCCCATATCGGCAGACTGACAAGCTTCAGGTCGGGTAATAATAGACCGAGAGTTGTGCACACCGTTAGAATGGCGTTTGCTGGGACAAATTTTAGTTTGTCGGATACCACGCAGAAACTAATGAAGCGCATAGATGACCTGAAGCAAGAAATCGCTGCTTGGGGGAAGCGGATTCGACGATTTAGCGAGAGGTCAAGGCGGTTCAACCAGAATCGTCTCTTCCAGAGTGATCAGAAGAGGCTCTATAAATCATTGGAGCGACCAGAGGTATGTGGAGCGGGCCCAGGACCGGATCAGGCTGACACTGACGCATTTTGGCGTGGCCTGTGGTCAGAGCCCGTAAACCACAGCGAGGGCCCTTGGATGGAAGTTGTGGCGAGCCAGAGTGCAAGTGTTAGGCCTATGGATCCCGTCACCATAACGCCTGAAGACGTGGCTGAGGCGGTCCGTAGGGCCCCGAACTGGAAAAGACCGGGGCTCGACAGGCTGCATCATTACTGGCTGAAGGGGTTCGTAGTGTGTCATGCTGTGCTCGCCCGACAGTTTCAAGAGGCTCTCGATCAGAAGTCGCTCCCGAGCCTCTTCACTACTGGGATCACTCACTTGGTTCCTAAAGATCAGGATACCACAGACCCGAGCAAATACCGCCCCATCACGTGTCTATCCACCATATATAAGACACTGATATCGATTTTGAGCGCGAGAATCACTCGTTACCTGGAGTTAAATCAGGTGATGTCACGCGCTCAAAATGGATGTCGGGGCGGTGGTCGTGGAACCAAGGAACCACTCCTCATTGACGCGGTCATTGGATAAGTGGTGAAACGCAACCGTCGGAACTTCTCCGCCGCCTGGATAGACTACACACAGGCATTCGACTCGGTGCCCCATACATGGCTAAAGAGACTCCTCCAGCTGTACAAGATTGACTGTACAGTACACGAGACTTCCTCGAGCAGTGTATGGGGCAGTGGAGTACGATCCTTTGCTATCTAGGCGAGCGGATGATGGCTGCGGAGAACCGCATAAGGATAACAAGGGGTATCTTCCAGGGCGATTACCTGAGTCCAATCTGGTTTTGCCTCTCTCTGAACCCTCTCAGTACTTTACTTGAGGGCTCCGGGAGGGGATTTCAGCTTCGGAAAGGAAGCACAAAAGTGACCCACCTTTTCTATATGGATGACCTCAAATCATTCGCCTCCAGTCACTCCCATCTTATGGAATTGCTAAACATCACTTGTGAATTTAGCAATTCTATTGGAATGGAGCTGGGGATGGATAAGTGTGCGGTCCTCAATGTTGAACGGGGAAGGGTTGCTAACTCGGAGGGCATAGACTTATCTATGCCCGTCAACTTAAGGACAATTTCCGAGGCTGAAACATACCGATACCTGGGTATGTCACAGAACATCATGAAACAGTCAGTTTGCGACGTGTTTTATGCACGCTTGACCAAAGTGCTTAACAGCCTTTTGTCCGGTGTGAATAAGACACACGCATATAAAGGCTGGATCATGCCTGTTCTCATGTATACCTTTGGCATACTCAGGTGGACTCAGACTAAATTTAACGCCCTGGATAGAAAAGTCCGCACTACAATGACGTCCCATAGGATGCATCATCCGAGATCGTCGGTAATGAGGCTGTATATGCCGCGAAAGCATGGTGGGCGTGGCTTCCTGAGCGCGCTCACCATGCATAATCGCGAAGTGTGCAGCCTCAGTGATTACTTCCTGGCGAGATTGCATGATCCATTCTATAAAGACGTCATTTCTAGTGATAAAGGGCTTACCCCTCTATCGTTAGCCAACGAGCAATGGCAGGACCCAGCAGTGCTTAGCATTTCCGACCGGAAGACCGTATGGAAGGAGAAGGAGCTCCACGGGAAGTACTACAGGGCTCTAAATTAGCCCTTAGTAGATACAGTCGCCTCCCTCAACTGGCTACGTTTCGGTGACCTCTTCTGGGAAACCGAGGGTTTGTCTGTGCAATACAGGATCAGGTTATTAAGACCAACAACTATCGGTGATACATCCTAAAGCATGGCACCATCGACATTTGTCAAGCTTGTCGCCATATCGGGGAGTCACTTACGCATGTCATCTCCGGTTGTTCGGCGCTTTCTAACTCTAAATACAAATCACAGGCACAACCTAGTAGCCAGAATTCTTCACCAGGGGCTCGCTCTGAAATACGGTCTCGTGGATCGGAAATTGCCGTATTACAAGTACTTGCCGGAAGCCGTGCTCGAAAATGATCGCGCCGGGCTCTATTGGGACCGGGCCATCATCACAGACAGATTCTTGCGAATACGGCTGATATTGTGCTGATGGATCGGGCACAGTCAAGGATATTTTTGGTCGACATTACCATTCCGTATGATGAGAGCCTCGTGAAAGCCGAAACAGATAAGCTATCAAAATATCTGGCTCACGAGGTGACCGACATGTGGGGTGGTCTGCCGATCGAAATTATTCCTGTAGTCGTGTCTGCAAACGGGTTAATCCCACCCAGCCTATCAGGCCATCTGAGGCGATTGGGACTCTGTGACGGACCGCTCCGGGCTCAAATGCAGAAGGTGGTGCTCCTCGATACCGCCCGCATCGTCCGCCGGTTTCTTTTCCTTTCCCCCTAACCCTCGGCCGTTTGGTCACCCCTGCCGAGGGCTTCCATCTGGTTGGGCTTGTATTTATTTATGTATTATATATTTATTTATGTTAGTATAGTAAATATATATTTAAGTACATTTATTTTTTTCCTTTTATGTATTTATCCAGTCCAACCAGATGTGATTACTCTATCAATAACCCAAAATAATAATAATAATTTATTTGACTCTCAATTGACAGGTTATACTTATGTATTATATCTATTTAAATTACATAATTACATTTCAAGACTGTGACTAAGACTGTGTTACAGCCGTCAGCGTCTTTCACCCTGATTAGTACAAAACAAATACAGTAAAAAATGACAGATTATTTCGCTATATAATACACAAACATGTTAAGTTAAATAAAAAAAAATGATGAGAAAACTTTGTAATTACCACAAACCTGTGTGTGAGCGTGTGTTTTTGTGTGAATGTGTCTGTTTCCAGGTAATTAAGGCTTAGCAACCAATTTAGAATTTTGTCTTTACATTTATGAGGGGACAAAGGGCAAATATTGTTTACTTTATTTGCTACATTACATAAATAATTGCTAGTGACATAATATTGACGACGGGCTAAAGCAGTTCTATGAGAAACCATGTCACAAATTCTACTTTTATTACGTTTTAAATTAGGTTTAAAATCTGTATTTTTGTGCTTACGTAGTATAACAGACATGAGAAAACGCTGTCTTACAGTAAGTATAGAACATTCCTTAAAAATGAGTTCGGTGCTGTATCTATTTCCCACTTGGTCTGAATGTACTTTTATTAGTTTGTGGTCTGAATTTAGAAACTATTTTTATTGGCAACACCAAGAAGCTAAAATCATAACGAAACAAAATTTCAGTAATTATCTGAAAAGGGCAACTTTTCATAATCGTCAGTGTCAGTCATTGGGTACGTTTGGCAGTAAAAAACGCTAGCAAGCGCTTGTAATCAAAATGGTGATCGTAAACGGTAACCCCTGTCAAATCGTAAGTAGCTATTTTCCTCTAGGACACGATATTAGTTTTAACCGGGGAACCTAACCTAATTTAAATATATGTTTGTGAAGTATTCATATTAAAAACTTACCAATCATGAATTTTTAATAAAATGTATATGTTAACTCATGTCATTGCGTGCGTTTGGCAGAAAAAAGCGCTAGCAAGCGCTTGTAAGCAAAATGGCGATCGTAATCGCTGTCAAATCGTAAGTAGCTATTTTCCTCCAGGACACGATGTTAGTTTTAACCGGGGAACCTAACCTAATTTAAATATATGTTTGTAAAGTATTCATATTAAAAACTTACCGATCATGAATTTTTAATAACATGTATATGTTTATTCATGTCAATATATTACTTAAAACTAATATTGCACAAAACAACTTATAAACTCTAATTCAAAACAAACAAATTAAATAAGCAAAATAGCGGATTGTGTCAGCGCTACTGAAGTAGCAATCGTGTCCTGGCCGAAAACTATTTCAGCGCTTGTAAGCGCTTGCTAGCGCTTTTTTCTGCCAACTTATAAACTCTACTTCAAAACAAACAAATTAAATAAGCAAAATGGCGGATTGTGTCAACGCTACTGAAGCCTACTACGCCCGTTCACCGTAAGATGTCCCCTGCCTTGGGAAATGGCAGCATTGTCTACGGTGCTGCCAACAATATATGGAGCATTTACCCCACTTGGTGGTTGCTGGCAAAATTATCTAAACTTGAAAACCCCTGATTAATATGTTTTACTTGCTTAATTAAATAATATACAGTTAGTTATAAGACTAGTAAGGTTGTGAATGATAACACAATTTAATTTTTAAATTATTTATTGATTTATTTTTTCCGACAATAATTATGGTCGAAAGGAACAATTCCAGACATACTCGTATCACTGTCACTTTCATAAACGTCGTCATCATCATCTGTCGTATCCGAATCTGTGCTGCTGTCATTTCCTAATTCAATTATGAATTTATCAGTAATATCATCCATACAGCCATCAAGTACATAAAACTTGTCTTCTAAATTTTTTACGTGTTCACACTGCTTTTGCCAATCCTGAGGGGTTATAGATGAAAAAGCTTCTTCAGTTAACTTCACGATATTTCCAGCTTCTTGGCCGACATTATTGCTGGCTACTCGTCTCTTTAAAAGACTCTACATAAACTCAATCGCATTTAAATCGCAGTGGTAAGGGGGCAACCTAACCACTTTATGGCCATGAGAAAGCAATAATTGGTCAGCCTCATAAATCGGCGCTTCTTTGTGCTCTTTTATAATTTCATAAAGTTCTGCTTTCAGCATTGTTTGTTTATAAGACAATCCCTTATTTGTTATCCAATTTTGCATTTGAAGTTTTGAGGAACTCATAATAGGTGCTTTATTTACTTGTACGGTATGATAGGGAGCGTTATCCATCACGACTAAGGAGTTCGGAGGCAAATTGGGTATAAGTTTCTCTGAAAGCCATTTTATAAAATTGGTTCTGTTCATGTTGTCATGGTAGTCCCCTGATTTACTCTGTGATTTAAAAATCAATTGAGCATTAGGAATAAACCCTATTTTTCCACCTGCATTAATAATTATCCACCGCGTTCCAACAGAATCACTTATTAGTACTCCGTCCTCGTCATCTTTTTGCCAACATTTTTTACTGTATACAATGCGCGAATGTATGTTTCATCTAAGAAAACTATTGGCCGACCATCTGCTCGATTTTGCCTCATAGTAACGATATACTTGCGTCTCCATGCAACTATGTCGTGCCTTTCCATTCAAATATTCCGTTTCGAACCACACTTTTTATACTGAAATCCAATTTGTTTTAAAATTTTCCACAAAGTCGTTCGACCTCCACCAAAGTTTATGTCATTCTTTAATTCTACAAGTAATTTATTTAAAGTAGGAACAACTTTTCTTACAGTATACATTTCATGGATTTTGTTTATTATTGCGCATAAATCGAAATCATCAAAATCCACCGTTTTACGTCTTTGACGGTGTTTTCCAGGAGACTTGAGTTTTTGAGATGTAGAAGCAGCAGCTTCACCTTCTTTAGATATTCTACTCACGGTTTTCTCCGACATGCCTGAAATAGACACCAAATTTGTATCATTTTATAAAATTAAATATTTATAAAATACAAATACAGAAATTATCATAAAAAAATAAATTAAATTAACTGAGATACGTACTTTTTTATTTTAATTCGTAATGTTAGTAATTTCGTATTATTACCCATACTAATGGCATTTTGCATGAAGCTGGCATCCCTATTTTACTAACCTGTCATGGCGGCGACGCGAGTTCGCACTTGATTGAGTGGAATCAACGGGGCTTGGTTTGCCTTTTCTCTCTTACAAAAGGCACGCAACTTCAACACAACCTCTCTTGCACTGCTTCTAAATGGTTTCGGCATAATTAATTCGGAATATTTTAAATAATTACACAAAAACGAGCGTTATAATCACAAACTGACAACAGATTGACAGCAATAGTGCCAACATAACAGCAGGGGACATCTTACGGTGAACGGGCTGTAGCAATCGTGGCCTGGCCGAAAACAATTTTAGCGCTAGTAAGCGCTTTCTAGCGCTTTTTTCTGCCGAACGCACCCATTGTAATTTAATGTCACAGCCACATGTACACCATGTACATGTAGCGAAATTTTGTAAAAATTATCGATTCTAGTCAGCTTTTTGTTAATTTTTGTAAGAAAAAAATCTGGTTAGTGCCTAAATGTAATATTATTGTATACTTGACTAACCACAGAACACTATTACTCCTATCGGAGACTAACTTTTTAAATGTATTACAAAAAAACCGGGTAAATAGTCTTGATGGAATTTTTCGGTTATTCTAAGTGGGAAAATACTTCCCTTTCTTTTTAACGTACAAAAAAACAATATATCTATAAAGTTGTCCGTTTGTTAAAAAAACATAATTCGTGCGCATTTTTTAGTTTTTAATTATTTTCCTAACAATTTCTATAATTAATTTTCAGATATTGGGTAAAAATGGATAACTAGAAGAAACGTAAAATACCACTTACTGAAAAAAAATCAGAAAAAGCAGTTGATAATTTAGCTGACTTGTCTTATTTATCAGAGTATGAATTGACATTGACAAATAATATGAATGATATTATATAATGATCTACCAGATGATCGTATAATAGAGTAACATCTTGAACAATTATTTGGTGTTGAAGATAATCTTAATGTTGATACATTGGAAAATGAAACCAAAGAAGTAGATGAACCCACTAGAGTGCGCGCAAGATAACTCTGCGCGCGGCCAAAATTGAAACTAATCGTGTGCCGCCATCTTACTGTTTATGGCAAGTGTCTAAACAGAGTGGTAGGTGTCCTGTTTTTATTCTTTTTTTGCAGTAATTAATCGTTATCATTATGCCGAAATTGATTAAAAGTGCTGGCAGGGATGTTATTTTGAAGGTCAAACGTGCTTGTGAAGAAGAACCAGACAATAACGGGCCCATAGTACCGTTTTCCAAAGTTAGAGCCCGCGTTGCATATTTAACAGGTAATTTTTAGGGATGCCATTACAATAAAATTCCCCAATTTTCTCTATTTGTTCCTTTTTAATTTCCTCGAGTCATTAATATCATGTATTTATAATGCATTGTTTTTATTTTGTTTTAGGTGTTTCTGAACGCACCGTCACCCAGATAAGTCAAGAGGGTAATATAGCAGAAGCTTCATCTTCTAAAATTGTGACGCCGGGAAAAACTAGGAACCGAAGGAAAAAATTTATGATTTAGACGATTTCGATATGTGCGCTATAAGGCATTTAATTCAATAATTTTACGTCGTGAAGAAGGAGATTCCTACCATAAATAAACTTTGATTGGAATTGAAAACTGATATTGGTTTTAAATATGGCAGAACATCGTTGAGGAGTATTTTAAAGACTATGGGCTACAAATACAAAAGGTGCCAGTCTAAACGAAAAGTATTGGTAGAACGCAGTGATATTGCAGCTTGGAGAGCAAAATATATTCTGAGGTTGCGCAAGAATCGTCAGGAAGAAAATCGACCGGTAATACCGTCAACATAGACGAAACGTATATACATGCTTCATACCACCTTCAAAAATGTTGGCAATCGAAGGAACAGCCTGGTATTCTTGCTTCTGATAGCGTCGGTGCAAGATGGATAATAGCCCATGGTGGAGGTAAAACTGGGTTTGTTGAAAACGGACTGCTGCTGTTCAGGTCTAACTCCAAATCGAATGACTATCATGACGATATGAATTCAGCTAACTTCATGCGGTGGATGAAAGAAAAAATTGTGCCGAATCTTCCAACGAATTGCATTGTAGTGATGGATAATGCGTCATACCACTGCACACAGATCAACAAGGCGCCTACAATTGGCAATACAAAAGCAGAGCTCCAAGGATGGCTTACGAGAAATGGTATTACATTTGAAGACTGTTGGACAAAAGCGCAATTATACGAATTAATTAAAAAATACAAAGGAGACCCACAGTACGAAATAGATCAAATGCTAAATGAATATGGACATGAGGTTCTCCGTTTGCCGCCTTACCACTGCGATTTAAATCCCATAGAAAAAATTTGGGCAATAGTAAAGAGACGCATTGCAGAGAAAAATATCACTCAAGCTCCTAGCGAAATAGCTGCTATTACTGAGGCGGCGTTTAGAACAGTAACGACAGAAGAATGGTTTAACGTATGCCAACATGTAGAAAAAATAGAAGATAAATATTTCCAATCAGATAGGCTGATGGATATGGAAATGGATGAATTTGTAATTAATGTTACAGGTGACACATCCGAGTCATCTGATGAAGACTCTAGCATGGATTCTGATGAAGATATGCGAATGGAAGGCGTTGATCCACTGCAGGACCATTGTTACACCATAAACAATAATAGGTATTCAATAAAAGATTTACAAGGTTTCCTTGGACTTTTTATTTCGTTCTTTATAATAAATATTATAATGCTATTTCAGTTGTTTCAAAATACCTTTTTGGAAAAATTTATTACAGACAAAATATTAGTAGTCATTAATCTTAGTATTAGTCCTTTTTATACACGCATATAATAGGTACCTGTAATTGTGTAAAAAAAATTGTAGTGGCGTAGTTAAACTTGTGTAGTGAGGTATCAAACTTATGAAAGTTAGAATCAAGAAATATATTTATTACGCGCATCTTAAACAATAAATATGGGGTTTAAAAAATTATTAGGTCTTTGTAAGTTTAGGCTGAACATTACAGTTTTTTTAATTGAGATTTGGTAATCAATTAGGTAATTTATGTAATTTGATATAATTATACAATTCCAGTAATAAGATTAAACGAAGGAAAAAATATTAGTTAAGCTGGCAACATTAAGATTAGTGTTCTGTGGCCATCAGTCGCGCGCAGAGTTATCTTGCGCGCACTCTACACAGACATCAGAATCATTACTGTCAATTTTATCTAAACCATCATCAAAAGAGATGGTTGGCACAGCTGCTATGGTAATCAATTTAGTTTCTGATCAAAATGTTAGTAATAACCAAATACCTACAACTACAAGAATCATGCACTCAGGATCAAAACAGTGACTTATTTGCCATGGAAAGTTTAGTGGAATTTTACCAACAAGAGTCTGTGAGACAAATACCTGTATATATTCCAATTCATCGGCAAGATGATATTGAAAACATGATTTCAAATTTTTTGGAAGATGACCTGCAGGACAATCAAGCTCCTTATGTAGTAATACCCAGGGGGACCGGTCTCAACCACGTGAATGGAAGACGGTAGAGAAAATCCATGATATACCCATTTTTAAAAAAAATTTAAACCCAAGATTTTTAAACCCATTATATAAAGTAAGACCTTTCATCTCAGAGTTAAATAAAATTTATCAAAATGAGTCATATAATTCGGCTGTGCAATCAGTAAATGAGTGTATGGTCAAATTTAAAGGCCGTTGCACTTCAAAAAATACATGCTTAAAAAGCCTATTAAACGAAGTTTTAAAATATGGGCCTGTTGTGATGTTAAGACTAGATACCTGTATAAATTTGAAATATACACTGGAAAGGGGACAGTATAGAAAACGAAGGTCTTGGCTACAACATCGTAATGAAGCTGTGTAATGATGTGCCTAGAAACACATTAGGTAACAGAAAAGACCTCCCTGAAATGATAAAAAAAACCCACGCGACATAGTACTTGTAAAAAGGACTCAAAAGGATGGTTCTAGAGGGGAAATTTTTTTGCCCGAAGTAAATCTTTTTCCACTTTTGGTCTTCATACCCGATTAGTCGAAATCCACAAAAATTTTGGATCAGACTTTTCTTCTTTTGTCTTGATGCTTCCCAAAGGAGCGAAATTTGAAAACATTTTTCCATTGTATCAAATGGGAAGGTTAAATGCAGCAACTATCAAAAGACACTCAGTTACAACAGAGGAGCTACAAAAATTTTTATTTAGGCATATGAAGTCACAACATAAAGGAGTTTCTCTTAAAAGAGTAACATATACTTCTGCTAAATGTACTACAGTTACTGATCTGGCACAGGGTACAGAAATATCTGCCCCAATAGACCAGTACCAGTAATAAGTAGTAAAGAACCTAACCCTCAGCAGTTACTACAAAAACAGTGCCTGTTCCAAGCCAAGGCACAATGTCCACATATGTACGCAGACCTATATCAGTGTCTCTTTCTAAACAATTAGATGAACAACTTATAAGGGTCATAGAAGAATATTACCCATTTAGTATTGTGGAAGATAGTTTAAAAATTTTTTTTTGTTATGCCCTGCTTACTCCATGCCAACTCGAAAAACCATCTTGAATTCTCTTATTCATTATCCCTCTGCGGATGCAGCTTGTCTTACTACTGATGGTTGGAAGTCTATAACAGCAAAGCTATGTTGCTATAACTGCACATTTTATTCGTGAGCTACATAACATAAGCACCTTACAATCATGCCTATTAAAACAAAACTGTGTAACTAGGTGGAATTCAACTTTTGATATTTTATCCTCAAAAGAGCATCTTAAAAGTAGTTCGTAGCTGTAATTGGTGTTCTAGCAATTGAAAATGCAGATTTTAATTGTCTATCCCCATTTTAGAAATTTTTAAATTAATTTCTTTTAATTAATGCATCCGCAGAATATATTAATGATGTAAAGGTCACCTAACTTGTGCAGGAGTTACAAAATTCCATGTCAGTTAGATTTTATGAAACAGACATTTTCTTTCTTTTCCTCAAGTGACTTGAAACACAGACAACTTTTTTAGACCCCAGGTTTAAAAAATTTGGTTTTGCTGATGCAGTAAAATATGAGGGGTCTGTAAATTCCTTAAAACGCAAATTTTGGCCACTTCACATCTCTGCTCTAATATTCAAGATCTTCAGCCATCTATGTTTCTTCAACTGTCTCCTTCATCGCTGCTTTGGGAAGACATTTTATATTCAAGTTGGATACATTTTTTCTAATCCGCAATATAATAAATGAACCGCTTATCCAAAGAAATGATCCATTAATGTGGTGGGATAGTTACAAACATGTTTATCCAAGATTGTATACATTAATACTTCATAGGTTATGTATTATGGCCAGCAGCATGCCCTGTGAATGCATATTCTTCAAAGCAGGGTTAACAATAATATGTAATAAAAATGTAGCAATTTGAAGCCCAATAAGGCAGAGAAATGCTTATTTTTAAATTATAATTTGTACATTTTTATGTAAATAGACATGTTGATAGAAGTTAAAATCTTGGTTAAATAACTTGTGATATGTGTATTCTTTTTGTTCAGAATCGGAATTAGTCCTATATATGAGATAATCATTAACCAAATGTCACCTTTGCAGAAGTAGACTCCTCTTTTTTTAATTGAAATGATAAGAATTATATAACTAAAATTCAAAAAAATTTATTTTAATTAGTCTCATTACTAAATAAAGAGAATTAAGTTTATACGAGAAACAAATTATTTTATTATTAGTTTTCAAATTTCATTTGAACATTTTTATATGCTTTATCTAGCAATTGTGGCAATTGGTTATCTAATTTTAATCTAACGTGCAATCCATTTAGGATTCTAATAATCACATTATACCAGTTCCATTTATATATTTTTGTTATAATTTTCTTATAGAATTTGTCCAAAAGGCATTCATGCTCAGATAAGTTGGTAACAGGCTTATCAGGTATAGCTTGCCTTAAGGATTTCTATTTGTTATTCCCGCTAACAATAGTCATGCTTATCACACCTGAAAAACAAAGTTAATATTGATCATTCTGGCTTTACTTCAAAGTTGTATTCACATAATATAGATATTAGATCAACATTTTTATTTACACCAAAAAAACATTGTTAATGTATTTTCATATAATAGTAAGCTTACCTTCATTTTTTAAATTTCTGAGGAATGACATATTCATCATTTAAAGGTATTATTTTACTGCAAATTAAATAAACATTTAAATGTTATATACCATTTTTAGATATTTTCTCATTTCATAATATAATATTTTTTTAAGAAAATGATTTCTCATTCTCAGATGATTTGAGGATCAAATATAATTTTAATCGTTTAGCCTCTTATTACGATTGTGTCATCTAAAATGATAACAGACATTTGGTTTCGGTTAACAAGCAATCAAAATTATAAAAATACATTAAATGCTCATTTTAACACTGAACTTTCAATTATATTTACTTATCTTACCAGTATTTTCCTTAGCCAATATTTGTTTTTTTTTCTAGTATCTTTCTTCATCCTTCAACTTATTAATAGGCGTGTCGATCTAAAATCGATTAATCGAAAAATCGATTCTTTGGAGTAAAATTATCGATTTTTAGATCGATTCGAAGCACCGCATCGATTCACTGAATCGATCCAAAAACCTATTGAATCGGACTGATTCATTTGATTCAAGAACTAGCTAAAAATCCCAAACTGGCTGGGGTAAGATACCACAGTTTTTTTTATTTTTTTGCTGTTAGGGGACGCAAAGACAACCGGTCGTACTTGGTTTATAATTTGAAAGCAATATATATTTGAGTAAAATAAATGTTTATGAACGCATCCAACAATATCGAAAAGTTGTCATTTCATTTTCATTTCTAAAATTCTTAAGCCCACTTTCCACTAAGGGATATAATGTAATTTAATATTACATCTCGAGATATAAATTAATATCGCTCACCGTACTTTTAAATAGAACCTTTTCCACTGAGGTGTAATATATATTACATCCCAAACTATAAATATTTTTTCGATCGACCGAGCGATATTTTCATATTATATTTCACCTCCTGTACTATAATATAATATAATATTATAGCTGTGAAACTGTTTAAACTGTGAACTTACATTATTTATTATCAAAAATATACATACTGTGAGCTGTAAGTACAGACAGAGTACTTTTTTAAATACCTAGATACTGCAAAAAATATTATACCGTACGTTGAAGTTTATAGAGGTTTATAGTAAGGAAATAACCAGTATTGTGTTCGTGTAGCATTCATTTCAATATGATAAATAGTGAGTTATTAGATTGAAACAGATTTATCGAGAAATGTACGTTTCAGTTTGCACTTTTGTAAAAGTATTGTTGTTGTTTCTAGCCTAAAATGTCAAATAAGTGTTACGTGGAATCACTTTGTAAAAAAAGGATCGAGTGGAGTATGTGTGAACCACTCCTAACACAAGCGTTTTAATCTTACCAGGAGTGGTAAAAAGTAATATTAGTAATGTTAATCAATAAGATTACTTATATTTTATTTAAAAAAAAATTACAGTTTAGAAATTAAAGAAAAAAAAAAGAAAATTCTTGAAATTTCATCTTTGAAAATATAGCGAGTAATTGAAAATCGATCTTTTATTCCTCGATTTAATCGATATTCGTTTCAAGTACCTTCGATTCAAATCGATTCAGAGATCGATTTTTTTAAGAGTGAATCGACATGCCTATTACGTATTTTTGTTATAAGATCAAAATGACGATAAGGAAAAGGAAGTGCTCTTAAATATGAAATAATAAATTATACAAAAACTTGCTATTTGTTTGGGATAAAAAAACACAAGGATTATAAAAACAAAGACATATGAAATGATGGAAACAAAGTTCTTCTCGAAGTTTACAAGGAATTCACACTGTTCATACTTGACAGTTTTGATCTCAGCAATAAAATATTCTTTAACCCAACGTTTTTTGCGTTTTTTTAAAATTAATTATCATTAAACTAGACACCATAGCTAGAACAATGCCAACTTTCTGGTGTTTTGACCACCATATTCGTTTAGCGCTTTTTGAAAGATGCGATTTGGACGACGATCACTACCGAAATGAAAGGAAGTTAAACTAACAAGCTTCGCTAGTTAGCCTAGTGTAATGAGTGAGCTCTTTTTATAGCGCGCTGTAGCACTAAATCTAGCGCTCTGCAAATTGGATAATGTAATGGGCGCTTTCGGCTGACTGGAATAGCTTTCTACACGTAGACAGAGAAACCTATAGACTAATGATCGGCGTGGCCTCAAGTGAGAAAGGACGATAACGAATTTTTAGGTTATACAATAATCTTTATGACTTTTAAACACATTTAGATAAAAATTTTAAATGTTCTAAGAACTGAACTGACCAACATTCACCAATCTTAAGCTCACAAAACACTTTTTTCTCACTTAAACCAACTTGTAAACTCCTTAAATCGCTACTCTGTTAAAGTTGTTTAGCAAACTGTAGAGTTTGCTAAACAAAAAACCGGCACGGAGAAAGGGATAAACAATCACA